TTCTACATCTGCTCATACGATTGTAAAACTACAGAAGGAATACTGCAGTTCTGTCATTACTACCCGTTCGAGGTCTCATCAACGCTGTAACTTCCATCACCTCTTCGTCGAATAACGCAAATTATTTATTTATTTTAAATTAATAGAACTCTTTGTAATCTTTAAAGCGGAACTGTGGTACGGGTCTATAAACTATTCTGTTCGAAAAGAGATATCTGTAATCATCTGAAAATTCCTTTTGAACTCAAGATTTCCTGACTGGTTCTGATTCTGACCTCCTCAATGAGATAGGAGCACCATGGCCTTTGAGTTTCTTTCAAACTGGCATTTTTAGAGGGCCACTGTCACGTACAATTACTCCTTTCGATCCTTCTTGAAATTGGTTTAAAATTTATGTCTCGATTTATCACAAAAACTTGAAAAAAAATTTGTAAAAGCAAAATTTCATGAAAATTTGCCCAGAGCTATATTCAGTAAATTGTCATAGTTTTTTTCATGATGAATAAATGAATAATTTTCAGAAAATTGGGTGTGATTAGCCAAAGAAGAAGTGATGAGGTAGATTGATTGCCTCCAAAAACTTCTATCGTATTTTTAGATGTTATGAAAATTGGTTTCAAGAGAAGTTAATATTTGCCTTAGAGGGTTTCGTGTTTGGGTTCTACAGCTCGCTTAATAGTGTTTGTTTTTTTCATGCAACACAAATCATTTTCAAGAGAACAGATATCACACCGGATTACCAGAATGCTAGTCGTAGGTAGAGGAGCAGACATGAGTCTGTCGACCTCAAAGTGACCCCCCTCCGACGATAAACGGCGGTCCCGCAGTGGCTAATCGCGTTGGGGAACACATGCCCCTGTTTCGTCCTCTGCGCTCATTCATTCAGTTCATTTTCTCATTTCCAATGCTTAGAAATAAATGGCTAATACTGACGTCACATCCTTTTGAGTTTAATGAATAGTTGGGGCTATTGCTATTTCTGCTGATCAGGGATTAGTCAATTTTTCATCTTCTTGCATGAGGAATTTGTAGGTTCAGGAAAAACGGTGTAGTTGACAACTATTGGTGGCCTCTATGCTGTAGAGAAACAAGAATTCTAGCGAGTTGAGTACTTCGCCCTCTTTAAACTGAAAAGTGGATTTCTCTAGCGTAAATTGTGGTTGTATAGTGCTTTCTGTACCTCTCCAGCTTATGCACCGTTCATATGAGTGTTATACGTACCGTTCCCTTACTTTTTTATCGAATCATTCATTTGATGCGGACCTACTCAGATATTCTCTAATAGATTTACCAATTAGGCTTCTTCATGGAATAGAGAATTTCTGAACTCGCTGCGGCCAAAAAATCTTTTTTTTTCGATGAGGTGCTGTGTCAACAGGTAGAATAAAGCTGTTGTACGAGGCATATTAGCAGGAAGAAAGAGTAGAGACTTTTTGAGTTGATCAATTATTTCTGAGAATGCGTCCCTGCTTTTGACTTCCATTCACAGTGGCATATCTAATGCATATGCGGCCCATACAATAATTTGCAGTGGCCAGCAGATGAACACATCAGCGCTTTTACCCTCTCAGGCAAGTCTGAAACCAATTAGCCGACCCTGGAGGTATGGAAGGCTTGATTAGCCTGGGCGGATATCGGTCCGGGATTTGAACCTGTAACCATGGAGGTGTGTTAGTGCGTCTTTTGGCGCATCACCACCTCCGCCGTACTAGCATTTGTTGGAGACTGAATCTCTACTTTTACTTCTTGTACATGCGGAATTCGGAAGTCGTGTTTTTGGAAACCATAATATTTGGATCATTACAAAGTTCTGCTTTGTCCAGTGTTCAATCAATGGATGCCTTTGTGCCTTTCTCCATTTCTACACAGGCGAGGTTACTCAAAATTCAATTCATTTCTGAAAAAGCTTCTTAATGTAATGTATTCGATTAATGAAATGGTACAAAAAATTTCTTCTTGCGTATGACGGTCAAGTCTGGTCATCTGATAATTATTTCTTCTTTCAAAATTTCCAATAGCGTCAATCAATTATTCCAACAATGCGATCCTGCTGCTGTCGGAATCTTTGCTCGATTCCGTCAAGTTCTAATGTCTTTGTCTTCGTGTTCACTCTATCATCTGTCATCTGGAAGAGATATCTAATCACGCTGGCCTCGGCCCCGAATCGCTCGATTTAGGCGGTTTTTCGAGCGATTCTTTCATACGCGCGGAGAGGGCGTTCGTGTTCCCTGATGTGGAACCACAAACTTGCAGGTTTTCTACGTCACTACCGGCTGGTGATGTATTCGTTAAGTTTTTCCATGCCGCACTAGGCGTCTGGTTTCCCTCTCAAAGTACATGTTCTGCCTGTGGTTTTGCTCGTGTTCCTTCGGTCAATTTTCATGATACGCACGCCATCTAATTGTGTTTTACTCGTCAGCGTCAGCCCAGCTCTTCTTCCTACTTTGGCGAACATTTGAGCTGTCACCATCAACCTATCCTTTCTGGTAAACACGTTGCATTTGTTTTCTTTAGAACACCCCCAAGGTATCAAAAAGAATATATTTAGCCTATGCAACACCTTGTAAAGCAAACCTGATGTTAGAGGAAGTTTATATCCTTCCGCACAGGTGTTGTCAAATTTCAACCTTTCAGGAATTTGACGGGGATCTAAAGAAGTCTGAACAGGGTTCAGTATTCTCCCTTCTCCATCCCCTTCCGTCTCTATCGTATTCCGAAGTTGTGAGGATATTTCGAGATTAAATCTAACAATTTGTAGTCTCCTAAAAAATCTTCAAACAATAATAAGTCGATTTTACAGTATGACTCGGATTGAGGGTGAGATATCATGGGATGGAGTGAAAAGATAGAGGTGGGTTGGGATGTGACATTTTGGAAGGACACCATTTTATATGTCTGTGAACATTCCGAGATTTCTGGAATGATTTGCAGTCATTGTAGGGCCGCTTACAGAGTAACTGGGTGAATGGAAAAGTCTCAAATAAACTTCCCTTCAGTAGATGGAAATCGTTCCGCTTATCACGTCTGCATACCTACCAAAGCAGAACATCGGTCACCGACGACCGCCTCGTAAACGAATCGCATTGACATTTTGACTTTATTTAATCAATGCAAATCATCATTGCAAAGTAGGGGTTGCGGAACATGCACTGATCGGATTTCTTTTTGCTTTTGTTTCTTCTTACTTCTTAATCCTACTTTTTCCTTGTTCAAGCACACTATGTACATTCCTCGGCTCTTATTTCGTAGCTGTTAAACTGACTGTTTTAATTCTCTTACAACCAAGCTACTTGAGGACTGCCATGGAATGAATTCCTCGCAGGCTATTTTTTAACAGAATTTTCCAAATTTAAATTAATTGGAATTTTCTTTCTTTTTATACCATGTTGTTCGAATTGGGCACCCAAGTCGGTGGATGATTCTACTGTTCCAGTTTATGGGCAGTCTTTTTGCCAAGAGAAAATCAGCGTCCGTATGTACGCCAGCTTAAACATAGATGACACTGTTCCCGACACCTCTGAACCCCTGAACGCGCTGAAAAGAAGGCAAATCGCTCCAGTTATTAGATAGCTTTTAATGAATTGCGCTTTGAGTAATTGAAATCAAATTACCGTATTCTACTATGTAGTCTACCGCAGTATACCAAAGTATCCTGTGCTCAGCCTTTTTTGTGTGGTGCGCATTTGATTTACATCGGAAGTAAAATATGGATGGAAAAGCCAAAAATATCAGCTATGACATAATGGCCATGCGAACAGAATTTATAGCATTTAATTATGGGCAGTTTGCGATAATCGACGCACTTGCTGTTTGATGCCGGAGGTCGTCGATCGTCTTAATGGAAAACTGCTTTCCGTCGATCAACATCGACGCTTTTCAATTATGCTGTGATTAATGCAACTAAGTGGATTTCTAAGGCTCTCGACGGTTTTGCTTCGTTAACTCTCAGTTCCACCATCAGAAACCATGCCTAAAGAAAAGCCGGTGACGTTCAGAAGACTTATCTGCGTAAGAATTATTAAAATTTTGGCATCTCTTTGATGCAAAAAAGCGTAGCCTAATAATCAGTGCTATTCTAGAGAAATTACTTTTACTTAGTAGTATTTCCTTTGCTGCAGTATTGATTGCATTTCTCTCTTCATTCCGTGGTGAAGGGCATTTGCTTCCAACAACACTTCACTTTGTTAGGTCTCATTTCGTACCTTTTGCATTCGAAATGTTCGTTTTCGACTTGTTCCTCCTTTTGATTGTTTTTATCACCAGTTTGTTTCTTTTTTTCGCAACTGTCCATGTGGGTGGGTGATGTTGACTGCGCAAGAACCTCCCCTCGCTCTCGATAAATTGATTTGATCAAAACAATTTCGGTGCTCTTCTCTCAGTAGTAGTGTAAAGTCTTACATCTCCAATAGGGAAATGTGATTCAAAAGAGAATAAGCACCCAGAATGGTTCCGAAACCAAATGGTTCCATGACTTACAGTCAGTATTACCAAACTAAGAGCTAATTTTGTGAACAACTTGTGGCGCTTCGTCTTTCCGATCATTTTTCCCGATCTTTCAAGTATTTTTACCTACATTTCATGTCTTCAAGAGTTCGTTTCTTGTCTCGTCGCATTTCCCGATGCACCATATTGGCTGAGTGTGATGCCGCTTTATTTGTAGGGTGAGTATGCGTCTTTGCATGACTACATTGCCGATAGTGCTACTGTCTGTCGTGATATTCCTGGCCTCGCCGTCCGCAGCTGACGAAGATCTCATTGAGACATTCAAAAACATCGATGTATTCAGACTGAGGTGAGTATTCTTCAGTGCTTTCTGGATAGCAACTTGAGAGGCCGGTTGATTGGTTGTTTTTCACAAGGGACGTGACATCTTCATCCACAAAAGAAATGTGTCTTGCCATATGCCGTCAAAACGTGATGAAAAAAAAGCGTAGCTTTCGAATGGCCATACATTTACGGATTAAGACCCTGTATGAGATTGAAAAGCCGCTGTTGCGAGCATGTCGTCCTTTTCATTCACCTTGAAACTTCTGTCTAATGCGCTTGGATCTTTCAGATCATCAGCAGGCGCCTGTCCATTGCTAGTTGTCGGTCAGGTTTGTCCACAGGAAAATCCACTCTACTATTTCAAATGCTGCGGAGATCTGAACGCATCGTGCTGCTTCCGATTGCAGGTACGATTGGTGTAAAAATTACAAATTGGTAATTGGGATTATGCTTAGGGTGTATCTCTGGTTGAAAAGAAAGAAACGAAAAGTTTCGTTGGGGAAGTTTCTATAGATTATAATTGCCTTGCGTTAGGAGGTAACCCTTATTCCCCGTATCCATTGGCTTGATCGCGAACTGATTCAGCTTAGTGATGGCTAGCCATATTTCCGAAAGCATTATCCAAGGCGATGTAGAAATTTATAAGCAGGTACCCAACCCTCGATCTAAGGGCCGTACGGGGATAACAGCCCATTTCTGCAACGACTTTCAAAGCATGTGCTAAAGCTAAGAAAAAAGGGGAATCTTCAGGAATTCGGCGTAATCATTATCAGCCTGAATGAATGTTGAAAGAAATTGCGATAAGCCCATTTCACCTTTCCTTAGCGATATTTTGCTTATTTAATCAGCATGTACACGTTGTTTATTGCTTATCTTTTTTAAAAGCAAACCGGATACACGGCGCATCCTAAGATGAATGATGAACGGAAACCACAATGTTAATCTTACTTTACAGGAATGATCTTAATATATTAGGTTGATGCATAATTATTGCGGATTTTTTGCAACAAATTTTATTCAAAGAAACGATAAAAATACTAAACAAAAACATGTTCAAATAATTACTCCAAAACTTATCCACCATCCACGTCAAGCATAGCTTTCCCCTTGCTAGGTAGTCGGATTCTAAAAGCGAAGAAGTTCTAGTCCTTGGAGGCTATCCACGCTTTGACATCAGCCATCCAGTCATCCAAATCATCGTAGCTTCGATTCCCTACCCAGTTTTTCAACGAACTGTTTACGTGATAATCCATAAAAGTTCCTGCCGGTAAATATAGTATATTCAGAAGCAGATTCCATTTCTTAGTTGGCTTTTGCTGATTATTCCATAGCCGAGAAGTTATTGAGATCGCGGAGTGATCAGGCCACCCTCCATCCTTTCTTGAAGTAGTAGAGCATAATTTTGTGAATATGCAAATAGTTTTCTAGACACATTTTTGTAGAGGAAATCATGGAGAACATTTCTATGAAAAAACAAACTCAACGTTCAAATTATATCGGGAGAAAGGAGGCCGCGAAAAAATCCGCAATATTTATGCATCAACCTAGTACTATAAAACAATAAGATTACCTCATAAGGATGGCTAGTTTTAGGCAAATGGCGATGAGATTGAAAAGAGTGGTTGCTGATAAGTTGTAGTATAGAAGCCGTCTAAAAATTGAAGGTACAGTTTGGGATAAGGAGCACGGTACCCCAAAGCACAAATACGGGTTCAACTCCCATTTGAGGCCAAAATTTTGCCCTTAATTCGCTATCGTGCGAAACTTTGTATAGCGTGCTGCATCAAGTCAAAGCAAGAGTTTTCCCAACCAGATTCTACCCATTTCAGGACTGGGTTTTGGTTCTGTTGCTCGTCTTGGCTGTATCAATTGTGCTGAGCATCATTGTGAACATTATTCGATGTCTATGTTGTTATTAATCAATCAAATCGGAGTATCTCTGTTGTCCTACGGTCATTCAGCTGTTCATTACCCTTCTATCGATATCAGTCAATCATAATTTGTACCGCATTATGCATTATATTATACTTATTCCATATTCTTTCAATTTGTATGTTGTGAATTGAGTCTTTTTGTTCCGTTTTCATCACTTGTATTTGCTCAGTGGTTATTCTTGCCTTGAAGAGTGTATGTGTGTGTGTGCGTCCAATGTAACCAGACAGGACTATTTCGTTCCCTTCCTCCCACAGAATAATTTTTTCTGAAAATAAATACTCCTTCGCAGGAAAATAACATCTAAAAATGTATTTAAGGTGTTGATCATAGTCGTTGAAGGAAGATTTCCAGTTTACGATGAATGATATCGGTATTTCCTAGGCTTTTCCAAAAGCATATTCTGACACTGGTAATAATCCTGTACATTTTTGTTCCAAAACCCCATATTACACGTCCGAGAGCTTTCGGTAGTACTATGCATTCACGTGCCTACGAAGGTGATCTAAATACAAGTGATTGATAGCTCTAGTGCGTTTACATGGTCTTTTCCATTTCTTCGAACGATGCGGCTTTGCCCAAAGATTTCGGCATATCAGCATCAAAAACATTTCCATAAAGAGATTTCCGTCGATTTCATTTTAACGATGGGTTACGAACGTTATCGCTGAAAAGTACCCAGTTTCGACCATGGATGATGTTGCTTAAATGCTAGATGGACTAGGCGATTCGGGAGTTGATTTAGCCTAACACTCTATACAAGTAAATTCGATAAGCCTGGACAAGACCTTTCTGGAGGGGTACTTGCAGAAAGCACAATTCATCCGAGTAAATCAGAAGATGCGACAGTAGTTATATAGCGATCTAACAAGTTTTGAGATTCAGTATGCACAGAGGTCCAACCAGTACATAGAGCGCCCTCCTGGAAAGCACCGTACAAACTGTAAACTCTCGAAACATTCCCAGAGATGACAGGCGTGGCCTTTCCTCCCAACAGTCGTCATGAACACAATCCAAAAACTAGAAGTAATTGCTGAGAAGAGACTCTGTCTGTAGAGAAGTGCTCTTCTTGTCGGAAGTGTAGGGTGTCATGCCAAGCCGCTATTCGTTATCTATCGGAATGTAAAAAAAAGGATTTGTTGTTGGGTGAATCGCATCACCGGATAGCAGGGCTGCCCATCTGGGGCTAAATCTCACTTGAAGAGATACCAGCACATGTGAAATGAACAGGACTTACTCCTAAACTCTGACTTTTTGCGAACCTTTTTTTCGTTCACCTTTTTCCAGAATTCCATCTTTTTTATATTGCCCGCTAGTGTTCATAGCCAATGTCATTTTTGTGCTGATTTTTTTTTTACATTTAGTGAGCTGCGTGAATCGATAGGACAACTCCTATGTAGGAAATAAAGAAACCTGACTGGGCTATTCAAAACAGAACCGCGCTGCGTTTAGACCGTCACCCAGTCCAATTAGCCAAGCCCATACAACGGGGGTTCAAGGCTAGATATAAATTATGTGCATGACAGTAACGCTGGCTTTTACCACAATAGGGATTGTGGGCTCTCCCGAAAGAAACGCTATGGAGCTTTAATAGGAAGGCTTAATGGGTGGCTAGTACCCAGGCGAAATCAACTAATATAAAATACGAACGAGAAAATATGCATAAAATGCTTCAACTCCATGCGAAGGCTCCCAATTGTTCTGGAATCACGAAAAATTCAAGATGATCTCTTACTCTTTCCCGTATCATTCTATCAATGGAGCTACACGATAAACATTTTAAGTCAGTCACAGTAGCAGCAATCCCTACTCTGAAAACCTACTGTATTTCTAGAATGAGCTGCTTTTAAAGTGACCATTTCCCTCAAACACCGGACCGATAACGCTTCACTTCCATGACGGCATTTTACAGAGTGGTGAAGACTTAGTGAGGAAGTGGAACCACCCTTCCTTCCTTCCTCAAGCGCCAGTGCGTAAAGAAGGAGGGGAGCCGGCTTCACGGACCTGTAAAGGGCTTGGAATAGTTTCTTGGCCAGGGAAATATGGCTTTCTAGGCCTCAAGAAGGGAGGAGTATCCGTATGGGTGAGGTGAGACGTCAGGCAAGTATCTCCGATCTAGGAAGGAATGAACATTCAGCTGACCACTGATTCATCTCTTTCAGTAGAGTATACTTATTACGAGAGCACCATTTCGGGTCCGGAGGCAGCTGAGGCGGCAGGCAAAGACTGTTAACCTTCCCGTCCCCCTCCCTTCCCTTCTACATCTCTGCGTTTTAGCGCCCTGGGTCTGTGATGAGGGTGACCTCTACCACCTTTATTTCCATCCACAACCTTAAAAAATACCAAATCCCTATATCGAGCATTGATTCTCAGCTGATGAATGAGAACAGCGTGGGAGTGTTGTATTCATCTTACGTTTGGCAACGGAGCGCGATATTGTCACATTGGAACTTTTCAAATTCAAAGCGTGAAATAGCAATGTCAGTCATTTGGACAAGTGCCTATACCACGTTTTTTGTTTCACTTTGTTTGCTGTTTTTTTGTTGTGAATAAGGCAACCGTACTCAATGTATAGCGTCCCGAGCTCCTCGAGGAATTACTCATCCTTTCGATTCTATGCATTTATTTTCTAGGAACTATGGCGTTGGCAGCATCACAACCTCCCTATTGGCGTTCGACAAAAGCAGATGAATACAGGGAATTGAATTTGCTTGGAAAGGGAGCTTACGGTGTGGTTTACCATGTAACTCACACACCAACTATGACTGAAGTGGGTTTATTTTTACTTTTCCTTCTCACTCACCAACAGTTTTGAGGCCTTCTAAATCCATGTTTGGCATATTATCGTTCCTATTCCAGTATGCGTTGAAGAAAATAGTCGTGGGCGTGAATGACGACGGAGTTCCTCAAAGCGTTCTACGTGAAATCTCCAGCATGATGGCACTCAGGCGATTACGTCACAAGAATATCACTTTGTCAGTGAATTTTTTGGTATAAAGAAAAGATTGATTAACTGGGGGGGGGGGTTAAAGGTTTGTGAAACACATCTAACTAAGATCCTTCAACCTTTTCGATCAGGTTGTTTCTGAGGGTTACACGAGGGTACATCATTCGGAGACTTAGTTTTGTGCATTTATACACTTCTGATCTTAGATTACATGACGTTTTTCACACGCTGGAGAACAACGGCTGTGATCTGCATATCAATATGGTCGTGGAGAAGTGTGATTGGGATCTTTACTCATTCTTGAAGGACATCCCTCGTGACATGCCAGATCATCAATGCAGGCTTATTGCGAAGCAGGTTCGAATCATTAGGTGTTCGCCAGCTTTCGAATTTGGATACTACGATCTTTTTCATTTCAGATTTTTGAGGGTGTAGATTTTTTGCACAGTAATAATATCGTTCATCGGGATTTAAAACCTCAAAATATCCTCATCAATCGCGACCAGACAGTGAAAATAGCGGACTTCGGCTTATCAAGGACATATACAACTCAAAGTTGTTTTACAACGGTGGTATGTATTATTATGATCATTTACAATGCGGTAGTTGTTATGATTATTAACTCTTATTGAAATTCGTAGATACTGGACTGCTCTCAGTCGCTTAGGTTGTGACTCTTTGGTACCGAAGCCCAGAACTGCTTCTGCAGTGCAGTTACAACACAGCTGTAGACGTATGGGCCATTGGGTGCATAATCAGTGAACTCTACCAGAGGGTTCCACTATTTCCGGGGCAGACAGAAGCTCAACAGCTCAGTATAATTTTCCAGTGAGTAAATCGATCTTTCGTATTTTATTTTATAAATAAAGCGTATAAAGGTGCTGGATCCATGTTTATCACATTTGAATTGGAATGGAGGTAGTACCATTAGTTTTGTTCTTTTTTAGGAAAATGGGAACGCCTCGTTCATCGTTGTGGCCTCATGATGCTGTTGTTGAACGATCCAACTACCCATCATATCCCGCCCAACCGCTGGAAAGGTAGTTTACTCGGCACTTTTCTTTATCAATCCTCATCAGCTGTAGCGGTTGCTAGCAAATTTGTCATAATCACGTAGCATATGAAGGGAGACCCTGATAAGGTTCATGTGCTGAATCAAGTGGTGCTTATCATTTTGCGTAAAAATTTTGGCAGACCAAATGTAACTGATGCTGCAAAGATGCGGATATAACATTACACGAACGCTCTCCAGTCTGCTCGTCTTTTTGAAATTGGGGTTTGCTCTTACTTATGCCCAACATGAGTACCGTGAAGAATTACAAATGCCATACAGAATGTTTTGGTATCGCAATATTTTGTCTAAAGGTCTAGCAGATTATGAACAGAATGTTCGACATCCCAGAACACTACCAGCCAAGCAATTACTCCTTTCGTAGTTTTTTCCGATGGTCTTAATTGGATGTCTTCGTGCTGGGTTATCACTTGTAGTATGTTCTTGAATTGAACTTTACAACCGTGATAACAATGTAGGTTCACGATGCTCCCTTTTTGCACTTAACACTGCATGCTGTTGCTCATTTGTTACAGCGAAGAATTCCTTGTGGCACGTGATTGTAAATTTTATATCGATTTTCTTTCGTTGTTTCAACAACGCATTCATATTTCAATTTCTTCCAAAGTAATTTGCACTTATTAAATAGTGTTTCGCTTGATTCGATTACATTACGCCCGCGCTGTTTTTACGAAGATGGGATTGTTTTCTTCACTTCATCGTTTCGTCTTTCTCTTTTTTCTGTAACTGGGCTTTTCATAAATTCTCCTCTGAGGCGAAGTTTCTCGCGCTCGCAAAGTTATGCGACTTCGAACCATTTAAGCAGTGGTTCTTTAAAAGATTTCACCTCAGCATATTTGATTGCTCAGGTTGAATCCGAAATTGCCTGCTGATGCAGTACCAGTGATCAGTGGTTGCTTGACCTTCGCCACGGAACAACGCCTCACTGCTCGAGAAGCGCTTCGCATGCCATTCTTCAATCATGTGGATAGTGTACGAAAATAGCTCAGTTACGGTTGTACGCTCGGCTCATTCCTTTTCTTAGCCATTATTTTTCTTGCCAACACTTGTAGGCATGTTTGTTTTAAGTATACATTTTCTTTCTTTCAAATGAATTTCCTTCGAATGTTTTTCGTCTCAGACCTCCTGTTCTAACCTTCCTCATACGTTTTAATGATTCGTTTTATCAATAGCTTTCAAGTGACAAACGTATCTCAACACTATTTCTTTGGTCATTCCTAGCAACATTTAGTTTGCTCAAGTATGCCAGGTCTGGATTGTTATCGTTTTGTTCGTTCGTAAAAATCTCCTCATTTCTGTACATAGCGGAATAAAATGTTACTAATCTTGGTTTCTGTTGTAGATCTCTCGTTCTGTTCGGGTTACTTATACAGCCTGCTATGCCATGAATATCGGTTCATGGCTTTTTTTCAGATGTCCAAGATTGTAGGGCTTGTACATCGTTCGGTAATAATACTTAGAGGATCGGACTCACTTAATTTGTTACAGGGACTCGTCACGAGCGATGTCAGGTATGTAGGAGTAATTTTATTTTCTTTGGGCACGCTCAAATCTTGAATAGCCCTTCGTTCCAAAATTAGTTGATTTCATTCGTCACCCCAATGTCTACATTTCTGTGCTCTTTGGCCAGCGATATCAGCAAGAAGCGGTTTCCTTATCCTTGCTCACAAGAAAAATATTAAATTGCCCATGTTAATTTTTTCTCTTTGGCAGCTTGGCCGTATGCCAAAATTTTATAGATGCACCATCTATGGAACTCTTATTTGTTTGTACTTATTCTTTACAACTCTTTGGTTTTCTAGAGCGTCTTAATTTGATTCTTACATTTTTTTAGAAAGATCCCACCTTCGGTGGGTGTTGGCGCTTTTTTCCTTAATTTGAAAGGGAGAATAGTAGACGACGTTCTGATATCTCGAGATAATGGCGACATTCTCGTGGAATGTTCGGCATCGAACAGGACAGGCTTGAAGGAGATATTGATGAAGTACCGCATGCGTAAAAACGTGAGCGTGAGATTTTGTCAAGTCTTCATTATCCTTTTATTTGATTTCGTTTTGACATTCAGGTAGATATAGTGGAGTCGCATGCTGACGTGCTTTTCACGACCGATGATCTGCCGAACTCATTTGTTGATCCAAGATGCCCCTCTTTAGGGAGACGTCTTTACGGTGAGAGAAAGGGCGAGGAAACTAGTGAATATCACGAAAAACGACGAATGCTTGGGATCGCTGAAGGCTGTGAAGAGTTGGGCGGACTTCTTCCTTTTCATGTATGCTATTGATTTCCACTCAATGATTATGATTGACCTCAGCTCAATGTCTAAAATCTATAATGAGGGAACATTTCTCCAAGAACTAATGATGTGCTATAGCATTTCACTCGAAGAGCGCCACTCAGTGCTTAGTTTGTGCGTGATGCGTTTTCGAAGCAGGCAAGACACTCAAACTGAAAGCGCTGTTCGAGTCACAAAAAGCAATTAAAACAAGCAATTGTGATCAAGCAGATGCCTATCTAGTAGGGTGCTTAGCGATCTATAAGTGTTCCACTAGTCTCTGGGTAAGTTCTAGTAATAGTTAGTATTGATGCTATCTCCGCGACGGTGTTCAGTAACTTCAGGAGCGAAAATTTTTCAATTCCCCTATATTTAAGCTGTAGCCTAATTTATGCAACGTTCAGGCAAATGGTGATCTGCTAAACATGGTCTCTCTAGACAAAGGATGCTACATTGGCCAAGAATTGACAGCACGAACTGCTCACACTGGTAGAATATTTCCTCTTGCGTAGAAAACTGATTTTCACCTCATACTCTTGAATAAAAACAGCAATTAGGAGTGATTCGGCGGCGAATACTTCCATTCAAGTGTAAGAAACCCGTCAAAGGAAACGTAATGCAAGAGGATAAGAAAGTCGGCGAGGTATTTTTCATTCTAGTTTGTTCTCTAATCACAATCTTTCATTCATGCAATTTTGTTCTTTAAGGTCATTTCTTGTGGAATCGAACACGGTTTGGCTCTGATGGTGTTAAGCGCATTTGGACAACCGCTGAGTGTAGATGGCTCCCCGATTGTTTTGTATAAACCGTCATGGATGCCTGACTCGGCACTTAAACCTAAAGGAAGGTGATAAAATGTATATTTGCTCATTCTAGTCGTTGTTCTGTGCGTTTGTACGACGAATCTCTTCTATACGTCATTCAGACTTAGTTGTGCAGGTGTTCAATTAGAGATTGCGGTCTTGTTTCAACGTGAGATCAGTTAGAAGTTTTTCATTAAAGTACTGGTATCGTGTGTACAATATTTGCGAATGTTCCTTTTGAAGCCCTCCGGGTCTGTTAATGAAGTCTTGTGATCAAAGTGTTTGTATGATGATAGGTAAACTCCTGCAAACCTACTACAATCTACTCAGGCTCAACGGTTTCTTTCTTTGTCTTCTCATATGGATCGTTACCACAGTTTTTTAGTTTTGTCATTTTGCCACTGAGATCAGTTGGATGAGGGATATTATTATAATTTCCCAAACTTTGAATATATCTAGTGGAAGTTGTAGACTGGAAAACATTTGCATCTTCCTGCTTTTACATCTGCGCTAATTTTTTTGCCCTTTTCCCAAGCAAGTTTTTGTAGTGCAATGGCTTTTCCAAGTTTTGGAGATATGTGCTTCATTACCTTCCGTACTCCTTCATAGTATGTGGGAGCATCATGACATCATATAAAAGCTGGGAAAGTGCGCTTGTTACCTACTGCTGGAAGGCCTGTTCTAGATGATAAACATTTTAGCTAGGTTTACGTGTACGAGTGATCCGTAATACTCCTCGGGTTCAACTTAGCTAATGAAAGCGCAATGAATAAATGGATGGATCTAGCGGTGGAGGTGTTGGATGAAATCATTTTCATTCTACATCAGTTTGCACTGCATGCTGCACTTAAATTTGGTCTTTGAAATTGAAGAGCACCAAACTTTATTTCAATTGTGCACCTTACCCTTTTCCATTCTCGTCATTTCTACTTCTTCTTATTCTTTCGCGCTTGTTCCGCTTGTGGGCGGGGTCCGCAACCTCGCCATTTCATATTTATAGTCTATGCTCTATATGAAAAATGGCATTTGGTACAATTTTGGCCTTTCGAAAAGCCTGTATAAGATCAGAATGAAGAAGTAATCGAGCTGTTTCAACTTGGACTTGCGGAATGGTGATTTCACGCTGGACTATTCTTTATTAGATCGTTTAGAGATGTCGACAAAGCATTTACGACGATTGATTGAAGAAAAGGAACTGGTGCAGGCAAAGGAAGACCCAGAAGAAGAAGAAACGGTCCAACAGCGAACTGGTCCAGTGAATCGTTTCGCTGCTTTTATAGGTAAGCCATCATACACACAAGAAATGGTAACACTCCTGACAAGTTCTTTGTATACCGTATTGAAAATCGTAGTTATAATTAAGAAGTATTTAATATGATCTAGTTCTGAGAAGTTATTTGCAAATATACTATTCATGAGATGGGCAACTTTCGAGAGCGGACCAGTTTTCTGATTTCGGTTTTGATTTCTTTCCGCTTCTAAAATTACTACACCTAATTGGAGTAAGCAGATTCTAGCTCACTCTGTCAATAGACTGAATAGTTCTGGAAAAGAAGAGTGTTGAAGCGGAATTTTTATACAAACTAATGACCAGGCTAAAAAGTTGTTGTATATACTTATGCACACTTAATTTTGGTTGATTTTTGTGACATCCATGAACTGACTTCAAAGAAATTAATCGAACAACGGTTATTGTAGCGAGCAATTCATCTTTTAGATTGAAGCAATTTTTAGAAAATCGGAAAAATCCAGGACATATCAGCTTAGCCTCACCTTACTAGCCTCACGTACCTGTCCATCTTTACGCTGTCAGCCGTGTATCTGCTGATTTATCACAGTAGAACGTAGGCAAGTATGTATTTTGAAAGATATTGCTTGCTTCCAGATGACGAAGATGCTAGTCAGCACTCTGAAGGAAGTGATGCAGGGAATCCTCAGTCATCTGCAAAACAGAATGTGAATCGGCATCCTGAAAAAGAAGGAGATCGGAAGGTCAATAAAAAGAAAAATAAAAAACAGAAGAAGAAGAAAGTGGAGGAAATTGACGAAGAACAGTTACTGGAACAACTTGTGTTAGAGGTTAGTTCATGTGACTCGTTTCTGAATAAAATCTTAGGAGTGCAAGTAAGTGAAAAGAGCATATTTTTCCTCACAGAATCGCTCACAAGCTACGAGCTCGGAGGACTATGAACCCCTAGGCGTCGATCAAGTAATCAAGACTGATCCTCGGCTTTTTGATGCCGCTGCAGAGCTCAAAAGAGCTTTAGGGAAGAGCTTTAAGGTGGGTATAATTGTTTTACAGACTGGTAAGACTCGAGCCATTTTGATTCATCGAAGTAATTTGAAGTTTGTTAGTGTAATGAATGTATTAATAGATGGAAGCAACATCGAGCTCCAACCGTTCTCATCGTTCAGCTCACAGTGTGGGTAAGCTCGTTAAGCATAAGAATACATGGCCACCGATAAGAAGTATTGGTGAGTGCATCATTTTGAGCTGCTCGTCGGCTTTTTCTACCATCGTTTTATCAATATCGAGTTGCTAACATAGGTCTGTCTATGGAATTAGATCATGAGGCTGGCCAAGAAAAATGGTTCAAGTTCGTCCACAATGCGCATTATGAGCAGGTTGAAAGGTTAGTCAATTAGGAGAAAGAACAATAGCTTACTGTCATGCTAAGGGGCTATCTGTATATATTTCATTTCCTAACACAGAATATAATAATCATGTTCGAACTTTTCGTAACATATTCAAGAAGGATATAAGTACCAGCTTCTACTAAATGTTCTGGTTCTTCAAGATTCGCACTGAGTCGTACTCGTACTATGTAGATTAAATAGCGAGAATTTTGTTTGGATTGAAGCGCCGTCATTATGAGATATTTTGAAACGATCAGGAAGATTTTATGAACTTCGAATTTCTCCTTATATTCTGAGGTTTCGTATCGCAGCGAGATGATACGCAACATAGAACAACGTCCTTCTTTTCCGCCTCCTTTTCCGTCCTTCATCTGACATAAGCTGGCTACGTCATATGACTTATAATTTGCTAAATGCTACATTTTAGACTATGCTGGGTAGCTGAAGATTCGCTCGATCACAGAATAATTGAAGAAATACTCACCGACAATCCATATCATTTAAATTCATTGCTTTTGCTGGCCAACATTTTCCGGATGCAAGAAGATATTACTCAGTCATGTGATCTGATAGGTTCATTTCCTCTACATTGTACTCAGGTTCAGAAATGTTGAAGCGAGTATTGAAATATTTCTTCTATGATTTCAGAGCGAGGCATTTTCTATTGCGAACAAGCTATGGCGAGTACTTTCCACGCCAGTTCGTTTTACCATCGAATTGATTACTTGGATTACGAGAATCGAGCATTTTATTTACTGTTACATCGCCATATGATGAACTGTGTCCATAAGCGGTAAGCTTGTTAGGTGACTGAAAGTTAAACGTTGGAACTGTGATGAGCACAAAGTAACTGTATAGTAGGGATGGCTTAATAGTTGAGAACAGTGTTAAAAACAATTGTATGCTGCATTCTTTCCTTTGAAATGCACCTTGAATGGTTTGTTGCTGGTGCTCGCACATGAGTGAAGACGAGCCGTATGAGTACAAGTATTCTTTAACTTCATTGCATGTGCACGCACATGAAAGAAAAAGAAATAACAACCACTCAAACAACAACATTTCCAGCAACACGAACACAATTCACTATTGAAAACTATCAAGTCTATTAGAAAGACTATTAGAAAGAACGGGATTGTGATAGTAAGACCAACAAACAGAGAAAAGAAGAGCAGATTAATTCATATGCTCTAACATTTGCCTCTTATTTAAGATAACGATGCAAGATCTGTTTAAATTGAGCTACACTTCTAGGTAAGGCAACTTTCTTGGAGATTTTGAGAAAATCGGCTGAAGCCGTGGCAGTGAAGAACCTGGCCCTGATACTGGTTCGCGGTCGAGGAACTGATAACTTAAATTCATCTCCTCTAGTATTAGAACACCGTATCTGGAAGAACTTGTGATGTTGTACATTTAACCTTCCTAAGAAGATTTTGAACATAGTGATAAGATCCATCATTTTTCGTCTCAAAGATAGTGAGTCCAATCCTAATATCTTATTTCTAACCACACCTCTCGGGATTGAACTGTAAGTGAATCCAAGTGCACGTACGAAGATTTTCCTCGTAAAACTATTTTGTACAGATTTGATCTTCCTGATGTTCTTTTTTGAATGCACTGAGAAAACCGTCGTTCCGTATTCTAGAATTGGGCGAATATAAGTTTTATACCCTTTGAGTAAAATACAAGGGTCCTTAGTTAAGACACATCTTAGAAATTGGAAGAGTCGTCTATTCTTTCCTTTTTTGAACATTCTTTTGATTCTACAATTGCTAACACTTCCTGCGAAAAAGAGTTGTTGTCGCCCTAGCGTGCCCANGTCCTTAGTTAAGACACATCTTAGAAATTTGAAGAGTCGTCTATTCTTTCCTTTTTTGAACATTCTTTTGATTCTACAATTGCTAACACTTCCTGCGAAAAAGAGTTGTTGTCGCCCTAGCGTGCCCATTCTGATTTTTAGATGTTTCGAGACGGCACTGAACTATGCGAAGCTGATTCTGACCATGGATCCTCAGAGTGAGCATAATTAACGTTTTTTTAGCCTTCGTGGCATTATTTGCAGTCGTTTTCTTTGCTTTCAAAAAACCTGCATTATGAGGTGTGGTGCTCAAAAGATTGAGAGGATAAACCTTTTTGGCGTTAGTCAATCCCGCCTGAGGGATGCGCCCCGATTTGAACTTCTTCCACTCTGAAGCTTCCACTCTGAATCTTATTGACGTATTGAATGATTAATACCCCGTACCACAGCTTGCAGTGCCCTACCGATCTACAAGTCAGTGCTTTTATCATCCCAGACCCTTCACCATCCCTTCGCTTAAGTATCGGTACGGGATTAAAGCCGGTGACCACGCATGTGTAATAGTGCGCCACTACACCACCTCTGCCTTCATTCAAAATGTCACTTTGCTCTTAGTTAATCCAGGAATTCGCAGACGTCTGAAATATTAGTACGATCCAGAAATGAATTTTCTGCGATTCAGTCTTGCCGTTTGCTAGTTACATGCTAAAAATGGTTGTTAACCTTTTTTGGTGAGTTCATCGACAGATTCACTGTTACAGTTGTGACAGGCGGCTGACAGGTCTAGTACCACATTATCATGAACTCGTAACTTGAATATTGAAGAAAAATTCACGAAACAGATGAAAAACAAAAAAAGCTGTCAAGATTAGATTTGCCAGATGCAGATCTTTCCTTTTTCTTTTCAGCGGATTNCCCCCTCCCCTAAAGTTTCAGTTATAATTGCTGTTATATTTCATATTTGAGCTTTACAAGGCATTCTTTGTTTTCAATGTCATTACATTACTAAATTCAGCTTTACTTAGGGGATCCGCTCGCAGTGATGCTGATAATTGACACAATCGCGATCAAAGCAAAACAATACAGATGGTTGAAAGATTTTTATCGATGTTGCAAGGTAAATGTTCTGCTAATTAATGTTGAAGGGGAAGAAGAGCTCCTTGAACTTGAAACTATTTATTCAAATATTCAATTAACCCTGTTCAATTATTCAATTCCAGTTGTTTAATTTTACTCAGTTGGATTTCTTTTTTGTGTCTTCATTTTGAGGGTTCTTCCCAAGTTGAGTCTTGTTTCACCATTCATGGTATCGTTCATGGATGCATTTTTCTTGCCTCTGAAAACAAAACAGTAGGAAAACTATCTCATTTTACTTTTGATTTAGCTCTTTCCGAATATTCAAGCTGTGTAGTCAAAACAGTGTTCTAAGGTATGCCTGAGCATTAGGTTGAAGTAACGTGTGACACGAAGGAATGGTGAGTGGGGGGCGATTTCTACTTTGGTATGCTTTATTTGCCAGGTGTTCAGTTCTTGATCAGCAGAGCTTTTAGTTAGTGAGGAAAATTTCTAGAACTAGTCTGAAACGGCGCACTTGCTATCTTAAATTTATTTAAGAAGTACAATATCCTCTCTACAGATGGTAGCCTTTCTTGTGGCTCTGGATCGTTCCTTTTCAGTTTTCACTTTAGGGCAAAGCTACCATAAACTAGTATTTAGTAAAAGCCGAAATTTTCAGCTCAGCTATTTGTAAGAAATGTTTACGTAGGTTTAAAAATAGTGAAATATATCACGTTTATCGTATGATACTAAAGCTCCTTCAATTCTACATTAATTTACGTTGTACCATAAGCATCAGTCGTTATGTTTAAGGAACAAGGGAAATGTCTTTAAAAAGGTTTTCATCAACAAAATTGCAGGACTGGAAAAATCTGAACAAATTGCCGAATTTCTGCTATTCCATGGCGTTAGCACAGTTCTTGGATTCAAAAACTGATGAGGATTTCGAGCTTGCTGATATAATGGTTATCTGCATCCCCTTTGTTGTTCCGTGCTTATGCTAAGTTTATCTGAAATTTGTAAGGGTTGTTGCAGCTTTCCGATGCGATGTGTGCGTTCCCGGGAGTAGTATCGGTGCTTTTGGATAAACTACAAATCGAGCCTGATGCGCTCGTGGAGACCCATCGACACTTTGGAACGTTTGCTCTCAACAAGTGAGTGCGATCAGAGTTCGTTTTCCTTTTCGCGAGCCCACTGTCAGATGTTTTCATTAAAAAGAACCTACAAAATTTGTTAAAGTTAAGAGAATCCGATGGCTTGAAGATGATCTACAAAGTCTATGTCAGTGAGATTGCCGAGATCTGGAAAGTGCCAGAAACTTTGTCATGGTTGGAGCATATTACAAGGCAATGTGCTCAAAATGAGAACTATCAAAAGGAGATGGACATTTGGAAAGAAAAGTACGTTAGCATTTCTTTTATGGAATCCTTTTCGTTTTAAACCATGCCATCTCTCTTCATTGTAACATCGAACCGAGAATATTGCACGATTTGGTCAAGGCTGCTAACGACCTTTGACCTGCTGATCAACTACCTTGCATCGTATTGATTTCGAAACTGTTTAGTATATGTTTTTATCGGTCGCCTTTTCTTTTTAGGCTTTCAGGCCCTGGATCTGCATAATCTCTTACAATCAGAAATATAAGAGCGGACACATTCTGCAGATTCGCACTAGAATTGCAAGGGAAAGTAAGGCTGTTGTAAACGGTGACCCAAGATTGATAGCTGCGGCCATATCACTTTGATTCCCATTTGTCCGAAAATCATATGTTACATTTTTTCGTAAAAATTTGTTGNCATTGGGTATCATTGCTGGGTGATCTTGACAGGATTTGTCGTCATTTAAATAGCTTCTTCGGTCTCACTTAGACGAGATTCAGAAGTGGTGAAGAGAAAGGCTTGTTAGTGAGCGATTTTCCTGGAATCCACGGCGATGTATTCACTGTGCGTCAGGAAGGTTGAATTCTTTTACAGTCGTTTCAAACACATAGATGGAGCACAAAACGCTAGTGACCGAAACGCTAATCTCTCCACCCAAATCAATGAATATTGAACAAAAGCTAATTCCTCGCAAGGACTAGAAATTGTGACGGTGTGGACGTGAGGCATTTCACGTTCTTATACAGCCCACTCAGTTACCGGATAACAAAGTCTGAATTGAGCGATATCTAACAACCTCCCAAGTTGCGTAACATTTCAGTGATCTTGTCCATTTTTCTTCCTTTCAACACGAAGAAATGATCTTTTTTATAATAGTGGAATGAAATACTCAAGTTTCATCTCTTTTTTTTGAACCTATCGTGAGAATGGGATGGAGGTTTGTCTGTCTGTTTTGATGTATTTTAAGCTCTTTTAAACTGCTGATCCATTTAGTAGTAATTGGGCAAAAAAGACGCAGTGCGTAGCTAGTAGGATCCAAATTCATTTTGGGTTTTGCTTTGGACATTGACTGTTCAGTAACAGGCATTTCGAGGATAGCGTTAAGCTAATGCGCATTCAGGTATATTTCTGGATACAAAATGAATTATCATTCTCCAGGGATTTTGTGAGATCACTCTCTGAACGCTTTGCCCTATGCGCTTAGAGCGATTCGCAATAAGCTGTAAGCTTATAAGCGGATGGAACTTTGTCGAAGCTGTTAGCAGATGTTCGTCCCTTTCTTCTATTCGCAAGGATTGTGACGAAAGTTGACATGACATCAATCGCCTGTTCGTTCCGACATAAATTATTTATAAAATCGATTAATATCCATAAAAAGTCGTCACGCTATGTTGTTAGGTGTTGATCACGCCATATTATTAGGCGTTGACACCACTTCTTCTTTGCCGAGGCTTGAGAATCCTGGAATAGAGATGGAGATATATCCTAAAAGGTTCCCGACAACGATGTCCGCCCACATCACTCGTTCGTAAGGGTGCAAGGTTATGCCGTAGAGAAAGAATAGGTGCAGAGACAATGCAGTGCTTCACTTTACTTTGTGACATACTCTTGTCATTGTTAAATACTTAGGTTATTGAAAGAAAAAAAAAACACACGATAAAACTGAGTGATCCCTTGAGCATTGTTTATTGAGCAATATCCCTGTTGGCGTTAGTATCGCTTGGCCCAATTGTTGTTTCGGAAATCATGCGATGTTTTTCTTCTTCTTCTCTCTTCTTTCTTTTTTTCTTCTCTTCCAAGCCATGCGAAATCATTACCTTCTAAAGTAAACATGATTTTTTTTTCAGACGTCAACGTTTATTCGTCGGAATTCCGCCCAATATTCGCCGCTTGGCCGTGCTACTTGGCTTCGAATCATCCTCTTCCAGCGTCACCGATCCAGTTCCTCCTGTGAATGGAAGGGCCCGGTAAATGCGGTTTTTGATGCCTTTGATTTGTTTCATTTCGATAGCTATTCTGATTTTATCAACAAATTACATTTCGAATATGCCGGATTGAGGGGTAACGTTCAGTCTCTATCAGGGCTCTATCTCAAAATAATGCTTTTCTCACCTTCTATTCATATTTCCTAGAGATCCTAGCGCCTTCCCTCATCCCTTGGTAGTGTAGGCGCCGCCTGACAGCATCACCACAGTCAATATAGAGAGTCGAAGATTTTATTGAAAGTCCTGACAGACAGATGGACTTCGGCAGTTATGGTAACGAATCAGGTGGACACGTGCTGTATCTTATAGCGTCTCAGTTAAGTTCAGCACCGATGTTAGCCAACCCCCTCGTCACATCTTATGGTTAGGTCTGTGAATTGCTATCAAGCTATTACTATAAACACTGGATTGCGAGAAAACTCTATAACGTCTGGTTTTTTCACGTGTTGTTCGGGATCCTATTTTTGTTATATTCTTGCGGTTACTGCTTATGGTAAAGCATACTTTCCTGCATTTTTCTTTCGATAATCTTTTCGGGGTGATATAAAGTACCTACGTTTTTGAATATGACCCTGACAGTATTCAGGAAAGTTTTTTCAGATATACTCGTGAAGTTGCAAATCCAAATCGACCGGATTCGTTTCTGTCTGGTTTCTTTCACTCGATTTGGCCGGACTATGACAGTGTTAGTGTTCGTCTCACTTGTCATGAATACATATTTTTGCTGACAAATGGCACCAAAAGCTAGTATATTCAAAGAGCTCTAAAAATAGTATTATTCTTTCTCTCGATTTTATTTTTGCTCAATTACAGTCAAATTTCTTTCGCATCTCTGACCTTCCTTAGCTGCTACTGTTTGTCTGACTCAGGAGTCATCTACATTCCTGTCTTCTTTGCGCTATATCTTTATGCCTCCGTGATGTAATGCTTCTCTTGCAGGAAGAGCATCTGCGTGATGTACTGCAGAGATTACGTGAACAAATGCAACAAATTCTATTCGCTCCAGGCACTAGTTCTGATCAGGCGAGACCACCAGAACCAGATGTTGGCACCTGAACCAGCCATGAGAGGCCTGTTTCCATTTTTTCTTTGACGATTAGGTTGTGGGTTCTCCTGGTGAAAACTGTGATATGGTAAATATGAATTCTAAATATTCCCGTTGTTACACCGGTGGACGATACCGGAACGCGCTTAGACCTTGTGGTTGCATTCTTTTCTGCCCTATCCGCAATTTAAGGCAGACTAGGGGTCTTCCTTTATCGTAGTGTTCATCTTGCGTGTTTTTTTATAATTTGTTTTGGGTGTGAAATTGAATTCTAAATAAACTTTTATTGACAAACANAAAATGGAGAAAAGGCACAGGTGTTGATACTGTCTCACTTGATGAATAATAATGACATATAGACTAAGTATATTACCCGCTCATTTGCGTAGGATTACCAAATCAGCAAGTATTATGGTGAAGACAACAAATTCTAATTGATGCTAAGTACACGTACACAAATTTTCAGGAAGAAGGATGGTATTACCAGGTAAAGCCGTTGTTTATTAAGCCGTTGCTGTACTATGGAGGGGAAGCCTTGGAAGGCGGAAACTTAGCTTTTTCAAAGTGCGTTCTGTCTGGGGCTATGCTCGGAATCTGATGGTTCTCACTCCCTAGATGCAAAAGGAACTTCCAAAAAAATACTGACTTGCCCTTGATGTAACCAACAACTTGGTTATCTATGTGGCTACTTATGTCAATGGCTGTGTCAAAGAGTGCTTTTCGATCTAGCTAGATATAATTTTCCAGAGTGATGTGCTGTTTGTACCATGAGAAAGAGCTGGATCATATTTCCACCGTTCTCGTGTTGTATGGATTTGAGTGGTTCCCAGCTCACCTCCAAAGTACTTCAGCAAATCACTCTGCCCTCTTCCATTCTCGCCTCCATGTCTCTAATGCACCCTGATAGTGAGCAGTTCCTGTCCGGGATGGATATGATCGAGATACGATACTTCAGGGGCAGGTCACAAATAAAAACAAGGAAACGCAGAGTAAAGTTGCTGCTTGAAGGTTTTTAGATGAATCATATTTCCTAGTATGTTCTAAATTAGTGCCCGTAAGGGTTTTGTGGCAGATTATCGGGGCTCTCGTTCTTAATCTCAAAAGACTGGCCTAGCCGAGCTAGGAGGGCTTCCTCGGAAAATTCTGTAAAATTCGGCTTTAGTTTTTCAGACCATTAGTTCAGTAAACTCAGAAAAGATGAGCGATTGAAGGTTTTATCAGCTCGAAAAGAAAAAGCAGCGAGCTCATCGCGGTCACATACAATCCGACGGCGAAAATCAGCTCGATTCTGAAATCGGCAAATGATTTTCTTCAGACCTTGACAGTGATGAGAGAGTACATGAGATGTAGATCTCTAGTGGATGCCCAGAATAACTGCTTTCTAGTTTCTGAAAGCTGAAATTGCGCTGACCTCCAAGGGTGAAGGTGATTGAGAGTAAAATACTGCATGAACACAACTTGAGAAGACAAATTGTGAAGATAGTAAGAAATCAACAATGGCGAAGTGTAGTCGTTGGTGGTTGTGGGAATTTTGCTCAGCCATAAGGGAGACGGAACAATAGCGCATGAGTTACTACCTTCTAACGTTAGAGTTGGTAAATCTGGATTACTGACTGTCCAAAAATGAAGGGCAAACAGTTTGAGGACTAGTTTCTCCACTGACCAATCCCATTTTGAGATGCGCCATGAATTAGGCTTCCATTCAGAAACATAATGAAGTCTGAATGGCTATTTGTCATCGACTTGCGGAGATCTATTAATATATTTAAATGGCACCCTGAGCCTTAACACTTTCACTACGCTCCTCTTTAGACCAGTCTGGTTAAGCTAAGCGATCTTGGTAAGATAGAAAGCTTTGCATATGTTGTTGCGTCGAGGTAGATCCGGAGCTTGGTTCTTAGAATGTTCATTCGCTGGGGCGTCACATGGCATTACCTCTATTTCGCTTGAAAGTGATAATGAATGGAATAAAGTAGCTGACATCTGTTTGTCTTGGTGGGCTCTGCGTTAGCTCTGGTTCTCACGGGATGGAATCTCCGTTGGGTTGATGAGTTCCGATCCGCGAAGTGCGATGCAGCAGTGACTGAAGTTTCCCAGTAATGCTGCCTTAACTTCCCGAGCAAGATGCTGTTATTCGCGCTTTGCGAATTATTCATAGAAAAAGCTTCTTCCTATGCATATCCTGCATTGAGTTGCATTTAATAGTGAATAGGTTACACTGAAGCGTTTCATTCTAAACGCTCGTTCAGGTCCTCCTGTCTTAAACAGACACCATATATAGTGAACTGCAAAAGTGCAACGGCTAGAAGTTAGTTTATGCTGCCATTTCTCGTGGATCATATCTTTTAGAACAAACCATTCGCTTTGGCGAGATTATTTGGTCAAGACACAACATCTGAAGGAGATGGGGGCGAACTACCAAAAGCGCCACCTAGAAGTAATTTATATCTCTTCCTTGTAGTAACCTGTACTCAATTTCTAGTGCTTGGGGTGGTTCTACAGCTTTTAGATAGGTCAATTTCTAAAGTAGAAATTTGGCCAGCTTCCTTGAACTGTTCTAGTCTTCAAAAGCGTGAAATGCTTATACAGTTGTAAAGACGGGTGAGGTAGAGCTCGGCAACATTATTTCCGTTTGTTTTTTCCGAGTTTTTTTGTTGCTTGGAGAATAGTTGTCGTCATGCCGCGCTAAGAGGCAAATCTTAAAGGCACATTTCGCTTTAAGGGAACTCTTGGAAAGTTCAGAGGAAATTCAATTTCCCTTGTTGCTTACATTGTTGGCAAGAACGCTGACCGCGATTTTCTGCAACCAAATTGTTTGCCCAGCTTATGGCTAGCTTTTATGAAGTTTTTGAATTCGCGCCGAATTGAATGTTTTGTGAGTCTGAGACCTCTATTCGGACTCTGCATGCAAGGTATGCAGGATGAGGTTCGAAAGGCAACGGAATCTCAATCCCAAATTTCGTCCCGTTCATCATCGAATTCCTCTAGCGGGATCCAGAACGTCCCTGTTCGTCTCTGTTGCAACCCAGTGTAGTCCAGGGGCCCTCCTCGCTCGAGGAACACGAAGCATAGCATTCCTTCTTTCGGAGCTTTAGTAAAGGTGCATCGCACTGGGGACAGACCTGGTGTTCGTTTGAATTCCCGAGAAATCCAGTCAGTAACCGCCCGTCCAACAATCACAATGTGTACGGCCCACAAAACTGGAAAAAAGGGGCGGGACGAGCTGGTACGAAAATTGGTTGCTGCAGAGCATTTTTAGTCATTCGGAATGTTTACCCCGCNCATTCCTTCTTTCGGAGCTTTAGTAAAGGTGCATCGCACTGGGGACAGACCTGGTGTTCGTTTGAATTCCCGAGAAATCCAGTCGGTAACCGCCCGCCCAACAATCACAATGTGTACGGCCCACAAAACTGGAAAAAAGGAGCGGGACGAGCTGGTACGAAAACTGGTTGCTGCAGAGCATTTTTAGTCATTCGGAATGTTTACCCCGCGAAATTTTTAGGAGAAAAAAATGGTCTGGCTATCAGATTAGTCTAATTTCTTTTACTATACGTCTTATTTTTGTAGTTGGTTTGGGCATCGTCGCTCTTACAACTCGTCTTAGATATTTTCGATTTAAATTAGGCTTTTCGTAAAATATTCGTTCCGAAATTAAAATTCATCTCGAAATCCCAAGTAAAGAATCAGAAACCAGCTTTCTCAAAAATTTGTAGAGCGACTTTGCGTCTTTACGCTAATACCAGCTGCAGTGCGAAAATCCATCCATCAGCTGCCTAATGCACTGATGGCGCACACTTTTCCTAATCGATTAGCATAGACTTCAAAAAAAGGCTGATTCTTGCTTAATGAACATGGCTGCCTTATCGGCACGTTAGAAGCATTCATTTAGGAAATTGAAAGGCATTTGTTGGACAACTTGATTCCTAGAATGTGCGGCACTTCATGACGACTTTTCATTGTGATGCCTCCGCATGATAAGGATACTACAAGGTGGGCTCTGAGAGAAATATATCGAACCAAAAAATAGCGTTTTTCTGCAGTTCGAGTCGCGAATGCGTTGTCTTCTACGAAGCTACTGTACCGGTTAGGAAGGTTGTGAAGAAGGAAATGTGACGGGGAGAGATGTCGCTGTTGCGTATTTTACTCGGCCTGAGCATGTTTCTCATCCCTATATCAATACCCAGATTAGGGGGAGCGGAAACACAGTTCAGGGATATGATTCTGTAATGAACAAATACTTCATTTCGCTATTGCCTCTGTAAAAAGTGGTTGGTGTATGTAGAGGGAAAGGAGAAAGAGGAAGTCTCGGATGATTCAGTATATCGTCTATGCATCAACGTTTGAAACTGTTTTGATCGCGCTCAGGTTTGATTCCTATGAAAACACTTAAAATTATCCATAAGAATTTGAAAGAATTCAAATCTTTGTGGGAGCGCTTTTCAGGTGATCGAAATTGTTAGGGTTGTAATTACTCGAAGCTCTGACATATGCAGGTGTTGTAGGAGCATTCCATTAATTCAGGGGAATGAGCCAGAAAAGGCGTTCGCATAATGATTGCTTTCAACTCAATTGTTTTTTCACTACTTTTTGTAGGTCGGCAAACAGGGAAACCGAGTGCTGTTCCCATCCAAGCGTTTTGCCACCTCCAGTGCGTGACGTTAATGAAAGCTTGAGCAGTCTTAAGAATCTCTCGTGTTTTTCGGAAAGTGATGAGGTGCAGCGAATGCTCTAGCTATTTAATTTAAGCTAGATAAATAGAAACAGAACTAGGTAAAGTGGCATCCCTCATGAATTGTCTACGTCCAAGTGCAAATCCGTGGCCATACCATCCGAACGTTGCTTCTGACTGGGATCAATGATTTCTTAGAAAGCTCGTCTACTTCATTTATTGCTCCCTCTTTCTCAATGCTTACTAAGAGCTTCCACCAGTTATGTAGATCAGATGAGCATTCAAAAGGTTTTTTGTGAAAGTTTGATTTGTGGCGCATCCAAAAAGAGGTTGATTTCCCTTTGCGATATTTTGACATCTTGTTCAATATGATGCAAAGCTCGACCTTAGTAAGACCGTTCTGCTTCAGGTACTAATATGTAGAGAGCGCTTCGTGTTAATCATCCATTAGCCTCTAAACGTAGTTCAGCAAGACCAGCTGGCTGGGCCGAAATAAGGGAAACCACAGTGAAACTACTTTTTTCATAGTTTCTCAAGTCCACCGTATACTTTAAAGGCTGAAAGCGTCATAAAAGCCCTTTAGCGATTATTGCCAGTTCGTAAAGCTTTGATAGATTACAATTACATGCTAAGGCAGCGATTTACGGAGTCTTAACGACCCAGCTACTTCATTGAAGGCTCTTGTCTGCACAAATAGAATAAGGTGATACATAATTGTTTTCGTCTGTCCAACTCAATTTGAATGTGGGACCTTAGCATTCCTGGCGTAAACGTCGGCATTGGAACATGATTTATAAGCTAAGAGTTTTCAGAGGCAAAATTGTTGATAAGTGGTTGGTAGAATTCGACGCTCAAGTGTTAGGCTTCTAGGAACACAAATTCAGCAAAACGTTATTGAGCCAATCTCTTTTTGAAAGAAGGAGAAGCTTGAAGAACAGAAATTGAGTCAAATCTGGTGAGTTCGTAGGATGAGGCATCCAACAGTGCATGGACTATCAAAAGCAAAGCATCAACTCACTTGGTCAAGGTGACGCCGGCCACTTCTGCACGATATCTCACCTCTTCTGTTTTATCATCTGAATAAAAGTCGATCATCCTGTCGCAAATGGGTGCATAACTTCAAAGTTGCCGGTGCACGCTCTCTTCCCGGCTCAGCCACAACCTTTTCTTTTCTCTGTTTGTCATCCACTCATCCATTTCTAGCGCATACAATAGCTCAATATTTGCCACCCTTGTTGGCCGTTGAACAACCTCGAGGACACGCCAAGACTTTCGACGGTACCGTCAGCGTGTGAAAATTGCAGTGCTCCTTCGGTATTGATTGGTTGCCGTTTAACTGGGCACCCTCATCTCCTACTCAACTGTTAAGCTCCCTTGAGTGACACTCCCCTTATCAATCCATCTCATTTTGTCCCCCATTCGGACTTCTAAAACGGCTTTTCGCGGCCATAGCGACCCATGGCATGTCAATAGATAGCTTCACCGGGCAGCTCATTAATAATTCGCAGCTGGATTGGCTGTGGTCAAGATAAATTAGAAAATTAATGAATAAGAATGAGGAACGCACTCACCTCCGACAACCCGCCTTGAGTTGAACATTCGTCTGGAACTACGCTACGGTCGTGACGGTGAAACTCCGCCCATACCCCGCCCATTAGAGAATGGCCACCTCTTGGCTGTTACCAAGCGGCTTTGAGAATTAGATGACGAGTTGAAACGTCGCGTACAAGGGCATAGAACTTTCGTGAAAGGCAATTATGTGTATGAATGATAAAAAAAACTCCGGTTCGTAGTATATATTTGCTGTAGAGAGTTATATAATGCTGGCGTTTCACTTATAAACATCGGAAGCGGAATGCATCCGGGAAGTTTGTGATGGTTAATATTGGTGCTTCTAGAGTAGGAAATGATAATTTTTATTTCGTTACACGACATTCAGTTCAGAGACCTTCGTAGCTAATAACATGAGCGGAATACAATTTTAACGTGAATGCGGGACTCTGTAGAACGGAAACCCGGTCATTCACCTTAAAATTCTAAACTGCTTATGTACCGAGCTCCGCAGGTAGGTAAAAGTATAGCTCTGGAGTTAGATCTAGAGAGACCATCGAATTTCTCCGCAGTAGGGAACTGTTCGGGAACTATCCCATGTCAGAAAGATATAGGAAGATCTTGGATGTTCCAATGCCACACATTCGAATCTCCGGAGTCCTTTCACTTTGATTTAATTCCACTGGGCATTGCCAATCAGTATTAACCATGTAGTTTTTGTAGAAGCGCAAATAATGGAAAGCAACAACGATAAATTAAAAGGCTAAGTAAAAATCCTTAGGGCTTATGATGCTCAGGACCCAATTAGGCCTCAATTACTGAGCTACGTTTTTTGTTCCTTTAGGTTGAAGCAAAGGTGGCACTACAGTTTTAGTGGCCGTCTGCTTCTCACTTTTTATAGGCTGAACCCCAATCTTTCCATTTTTCCTCAATCATTATACTGGTAGCGAATTGATGCAGAAATTGAAACATCTGGCGATTAACAGAGATAACTATCGACTTTTTTTTGATTTATTTCAATGTCACATTTCGAGAGGGGAGTATATGCATGACACTGAAGTATTGCACTAGTTTCGAGCACTTCTCCTTCCTGTTTTTTCCTTGATACCCACATAGACGAAACGCCATTATGTGTACCCACCAAGTTTTCATCTTACAGCGCAATTTCATAAGGAAATCTTACTAGCTTTGTTGTCCTGCTTATAAGGACCAGTAAAAGGACGAACTGAAGTTCACCGTAAGTATCACATTCACTGACATAATCACCTATTTTCATGTAATCAATTCGAACAAGGAATCACCAAGACCTGAATGAATCCTCTAATACGCCACACTGAGCTTGGTTATATGGTTCGAAGGGGTTTAAGTAGTTTACTTGTGTAAGATCAAGCTACTCATCAGCTCATGGACTATCGCTTTCCAGCTGCACTCACTTTTCGACATATTAACCATTCCAAAACATTAAGTTAAATTAGTGATCTGTATTTCATGACCACGATCCCTTTTCACGGTTATTGTTGTATCATGAAGTATATATCAAAAGTACTATTCATTGAAACTACGTCACACAGAACCAGGCGAAAGGTCAACTACTACTTGACATGATGATCGCGTCAGAGCCATGCTAAATCATTGTGTACATATCCAGCAGCGCTGTTTGCATAAATTCATTCTTTGCTCTCACGAATGAACTCACATAACTCGGAACAAATTTGAACAACGTAACAATTCCCGTAAGTTAACAATTTGAATAAATCTCATAAACAATATGACGCTAAAAATAACAAGCAATCGTAAATCAGCTGTGTCTACTGAAGTTTCTCAAACTCAAATCACAAAAAAACATAAACAACAGATCAGCGTATAAGTATCTCCTAGATCAGTTACCCGAAAGCCACTCAGCCATGTATCGGCATGTTTGAGGACTTATCACATGTCCAGAAGAGCAATCGTCTACAACAGGGCACGTCGAACACGGTACTGTAACTAATGGAGATGGTTGCGTAGTTGATGATGTTGCTCGAACCTAAGCAGCAGCTCAACAAGTGAAATTACAAAGTCGTTCACTTGAAACTAAACAATCACTGAAACATAGAAACAAAGCAATCTGCATAAGATAATTAGCGAGAATGGAAAACAATAAGCTTACTTTCCCATCGGGACGTCGTTCGATTGCTCCATCTAATATAGCGACTTCGAGTATTCGTTCAACATCTTCCACAGTGATTGTGACATTTAAAACACGCTTTTCCAATATAAAATCTGCTATCTATGCAAATCAAATCATTATTAGTGGATTTTTATCAACAATAACGAAGTTAAAAAAGTCTACCTCTTGAGGACGGACACAGCTGAGTTCTTTTTGCATAGAAAAGTCATCAGGATGGTTGTCTGTGGCCTGCTTACGACGACTCTGGAAAACAACATCTTCTTAGCTTTCACTTTCATCAAGATTTCAGAATTCTATCAATTATGGTGGGATGAATAAAAGAGCACAAGTGTAACTTTAAACTTAAAAGATTGACGGGTAAGAGCCTAGAATGATAAGCCAAAGGACAGCGCATAGTTAACATTGAAAACATTGAACCATCATAACAGCCGCAGCATACCTATATGTGAGTCTGTAATGTGATCTCTCCTTGCTTCAATATGTACCCACGGAATTCCCCAATCAGAGCAGAAGTAAAGAATAAGGGATTTGATTGATTAGACGTACGTGTATGTAACCGATGCATACATTCACCAAAGTGTGTATTAGTTCAGCATCCAGCTGCTGATCCGAATAGAATGTCCCTTAAAAGCTTAGACTTAACTGCGTCTAAGAAAGAGAAGTAACAATGCAGAGATGAAGGCTTGTGGAACAAAATACATGGAACAAACCTCCTGTTAATGACGTGTCCGGTTCCAAATCATACAACATGTAGCATTTCTTTGTTGTGCCAACGGCCTAATCTATCGGAAATAAGATGAATGAAAACGGAAAATCGAATTTCTTTTACCTTGATGTTTTTAATTAGTTTCTTCTGCTCAAGTGATTTTAAAACTTTACGGAGTTGAATTTGAGATAAACCCGAACCATCACGTAACTCTCGAATCCAAATTCCTTTCCGCTTCGAATCTTCTATCAGAGTGTATATCTGCGTTTCATGCTTTCATAATAAGGGTAGGATTGGAAAAAAAAAGTCGAACGAAATGTTGGACGAACAGCTTGCTCTTCTTCAGATGCTCCAGAGAGTTGTGTATTCGTGTTAACTTTCAACCGTAGAGCCCCACCTGACGTTTTAGCAATGATGAGCTTTTTAGACACCAGAAGATTGTTGATAGCATTCTGAAAATTGTACCTAAGACGAGGAAATAAATCAGTTAAAACTTCTACAACATATGCAAAACAAAGTCTGAGCTAGCACAACCTGCCGATCGAGAGCTGGTATTGCCGCAGTCAGGGTAGAAATAGTATCGGTGTCCATGCCATCCGCAGCGGTTTCGACAATTTTATAAATCTGTTCTTCCACGGCATCATTTTCTACCGCTCCTATCTGAAAGAAATGTGCATTAAGAAACAGTCGCATTATAAACACGAATAGAAGAAGGCAATGAAAGGTAGTAGCGAGCCCATTCTCAACATCACAACCGTTACAACTGCAGTACTGGCCTAAATTCAAGCTTAAAGAATACTTGGTCGAGATCATGAGACGNATGTGCATTAAGAAACAGTCGCATTATAAACACGAATAGAAGAAGGCAATGAAAGGTAGTAGCGAGCCCATTCTCAACATCACAACCTTACGACTGCAGTACTGGCCTAATTTCAAGCTTAAAGAATACTTGGTCGAGATCATGAGACGGAAGCCCCTTTGCTAGCGATTTCGTGCAAGGAAACCGCTTTAAAAATGTTAAAAGTATCTTTAATTGCTATACAAGATCGAGTGAGATGATCCTTGAAAACAAAAGAAATCGGAGTCTTACCTCAGTTTTGACAGTTGGGACAGAAGCAAGCATTCACTATACCTGAAAAAAAGGAAACGCATAGCATGTATTATGTCGCCGTTACCGGTAGGTGAAAATTTAGCAGATGTTGGACTGAGAACACGACCGAAAATGATACAAACGATTATTCGTTGCTCTTATCGTAATGTCTCTAGAGATGAGATCGTTGTGAGTTCACTGGGTGAGATTTTTCGTTACATGGACTACACACAGCAATGTCGAAGTTAAATGTTTGTGGATCAAACTGCAGTAGTATGCTCTGATCTATCGATTCCGACAGGCCACTCATATAAGTTGCGCCCCAGGCACAGTGGGCTATTTGCAGCGCCTCAGTGCCTCGCTCACATCCGTTCAGGAAGGTGAGCGAATTTACATTTACTTTCGCTTCTTGACCTCATCTTACTACGGAAAACTATTTATTAGCAGACTTTTTATTGAGAATACCAGTAGATTAATGGTAACATGCTGATAACTGATGGAAGCATGGAATATACAAACTTTCGAGTTGAGTCTGATACAACCACTACATGTTAGCAGTTCTCATTTGAACTAACTTCATAGAAATGCCGAATAGATTACTTTTCTACGTAACACCGCTCTATTAACGCCATTGAAAGGTAGCTGAGATTACGGCGGATATAGAAAAGGGCCAAGCGGATGTTGTCTACTTAAGAGGACCTAATCCACACGTTTACAGGTGCACTAATAACAGAGCAAAAAAGTGAAGCTTATGCAACATGCCGAAGGCCGTCAGTCGACGTGGGAATTGTGTGGTTGCGGCAACGTTGTTCAATTGACGTCAGACACAAAGTCGGTCTTCCGAAGAGGTCTCCATGACGACAAGTTGCCAATGTTTTCTGGTCAGTTCGAGATTTTCGTCGACGAAAACCTTATACTGCCCACTTTGTTTGGGTGTCCCTGGTTTTGGTCAGGTTTATGAGTGGTCTCTTTATGGGTTTGCCGATGTAAAGCCTGTTCGGATATTATTTTGCATTTCAGGGCTTTAGACAAGTATATTTATAGCCAAAGAAATTTTATGACGGGCTGGAGTTTATTTTTCGACTTCATATTTTATTTAACCCTTAACGAAGACAACGTTCTATAGAAATGACAGAGCAAATCAGGTTTTAACAGATTTCTTGTAGTACCCGGGCGAGACCCGTGGCGGTGGACAACTTTGGCATGGCCATGTAGGGCCTTGCGGTCCTGGCGGCCCTGGAGGCCCAATTGCTCCTCGTGGTCCTTTTTCACCTTTGAGACCGGGAAAGCCGCGTTCTCCACGTGGACCCTCCAGTCCTAAACGATTGACTCAAGACAACGAATAAAATCTATCAGGAATCTATGGATTTAGTAACTTACCGTTTTCTCCATCACGTCCCCGCTGTCCTTTGTCACCGGGTAAACCCCGTGGTCCAGGCTCCCCTTCTTTTCCGGGCGGACCACTAGCTGTGTATAGTTTCCCCGGCTCACCAGGCTCACCAGGAGGCCCTGTCAGTCCACGGAAACCCTTCTCTCCAGGCTCGCCCGGAGCACCACTAGGCGATGGAGGAGCGGGTTCACCCGCAATGCCAGGTCGTCCTCGAAGACCTCGTTCCCCTTTTTCACCGGGTGGACCAATTCTTCTGAAAAAGTTGGCATTAGGAATGTTTACGTATAGAGCTATTTTCAATAACCAGGTAGATTCTTCTGAGCCGGTCTCAGAGTAATTAAATACACATGAGCATGGCTTGAGTAGCATGCATGCGGTCAATAGCACTGGTTTGAGTCCTCATTCAGAATTGTACTAACTGTAAGAATACTCTTATGTAGCTAGTATTCCAATTTTTTTTTACTTTTGAAGATTTGGGTTTCAATATGGAATAGAAACCCAAAAAGAAGTCGGGAAAGAATAAACAAACCCAGGCGCGCCAGCCGGACACTCGCGGATGCACAACGGACGTGCGTCCAGATCAGCAGGTCGGCCAACATCTCCAGGTGTACCTTGAAAAGAAATATTTCGCACACAGAAATAGCGAAATATCAGAATTTGCTCAGAGCTCCGGAAAATTTGTGAGAATAGACTTTTTCAAATGTAGTTCCAAGAGTATGGTTCCGAAAAACGCCATTTTGGCTGCATCAAGAATAAATGAAATCTCACCAGGAATGCCATCGATACCGTCTGGAGAGGGATGGCCTGGGTATCCTTTAGGCCCTGGCGGTCCGAAACAACATGCTAAAGTATACGTAGTTTCGATCTATTACATTTGCTACACAATGGAATATTATTCAGCCAGAGGATCTTGCTAGACTCTTGGAAGATACTGAACTTCTGTACAATCTCCTAAATCATTCTTTGCTTGATCGTTCGAAAACACTGCTTGCTACATTGGGAAAGCTATAAATTTATTTGCTCTACTAATCGGAAGTGAAGCGTGGCAGAAGGCCCGGAATTGTTGTTACTCAAGTTGTTTTATAGTAGAGATGCGTGCGATCGATTTGAAGACTTTACTAAGGCTCATTGGCCAACTATCTGTGTGTTCAGTAAATCAACAGATTTTTTGGATAAGTCCAGGCAAAATAGTACTACTTACAGGCTAAATGTCGTTTTTCCCTTATGCTGCCATGAATTTCTTCTTTGGCTAATTCCACTTTTCTCCAAAGTTCTCCGACTAGCGTCTGAAATAGTGGATGGAATTATGTTTACTCAGTGTTTGCCGTGTGCGCTGATAAAAGGAAGGAAATGGGGTGGTTTTATACTCTATCGATGATAGCTTGATCGAATGAATGTTCAGAGGAATCCCTAGATGGGCCAAGCAAAACCAGAGAAGTAACGGAAATCACAAACCGGACAGTGTTGTTGGTCTATCTGTGAGAAGACGTAGAGAGTATGAAATATGATCAGAGGGCACAGGGCAGATGCACAGATTATAGCCGACACGGAAAGCGACAGAGCGACCGCTGGCAAGCCACTCCATTTCCATAAAGTAGTGAGAATGGCCATCTGAATTGAGATTACGAAAAGTATAAATTCTATTCGTTCTAAATACGAAACGGGAGAGGCTTGTTTCCACTGCTGCACGACGAACGTCGTGGAGCGCTTCTGGATAAAATGATGAAGTAGAGAAGATCTTTCCACAATGATGTGTGTCCGTTCTTATTTCGGTGACAATGGGAAAATTCTTATGTCCATTTTGAAAATTGAATTGAAAACCCAGCAGAAAATTTTCTTGTATTCTGCCTTGGCAGAATGTCCCCTGGTGCGGTCTGATTTTGGATTTGAATAAAAGAGTTGGTGAATACCGATATCCAAGGAGAGAAATCGGCGTAAGAAATATATAATAGAAGGATGGTAAGGTGCATGGAAATCACATTCGGACAGCATATCTTGAGCCTGATATTCAGTGACCACGTATGAGCAGGGAACGATATCTCGTCAACTGGAGGTCTGTAAACAGGTGTAAAGAAGACAGCTAGACAAGTGCAGAACTATAAACGGGTCTGGCTGACACGAAATGATAGCTGACGTAATTAGGAAAATTGCTGTTCGCCGACTGTGAAAACGAGACGAAGAGTTTCAATGGGGTCCACCTCGGCAACTGGAAGCGGGTGACAACGTCTCACGAAAGAAGTGGAAAGGAGAAGCAGCAGCTACACATTGGTTTTTTCAATGATGGAAGGAGCCAAATTTGCCTACGAGTGAACCTACGAGAAAATTTCGGTTGTTAGAATGGCTATTGAGTGTTTTTAACAGCTGTGAGGCGATGAGGACAAGTTCCGATGAGAATGAGCTTTGATGAGACACAATTTGTCCATCGTTCGCACCTTCTCACCCACCTCAGCCGGATGTAATTGGCCGTCTCCAATTTGACGATAATTGCTAAGGCGTAGGGGTCGCTCTTCAACGCCAGCATGAGTGGAGTTGGCTGTTTAACGGAAAGATTCCGTGCGCCGTGTTTTCGACGGAAACCTGGGCCGAAATTGGGGCAATCGAATCTCTGTAGGGCTCAAGCCCTGTTTGGGATTGGCGATTAGTTGGTGTAAGCGAGTACTCAGCACTACTGTCCCTTCAATGTTTAAAAGACAGAAGGGTCTCTACTGGGCGAGTTAGGGGCATTAAGGATATGTAACGACTCATGTGCTAGCAGTTCGTGTAGTCGCTTGCTCAATCGTCAATCGGTTTTGTACCGAAGATACTCCCATTGTCGCTTGGCAATTCCAATGCCCTTTGTGGACGGCCAGCTTCAACAGGTTTCAGCGTCCTTGCTCAATGACTGGAGTGCAGATTCTACAACGGCATCTTCAGGTCAATACTACTCAACCGAGAAACCTGCACCCAAATGATAGACGTGCCTCTACAACCAGCATTAGCCTATTCTGAGCCCGCTCAAGAAAAATCACTCAGTGTTTTTTCTGGACGCTATATGCGAATGAATCACCGATTTTATACTTAAAGGACTAATCTGAGGAACGAATTGATGGTTCTTCCCTCAGCTCCATCTACTTTTTTGGTAATGTCGATATTAACTGATCACTACAACTGGTTTTGCCACTTCGAAGTATGTACTCATAGCTGTTTTCTAGACTGTATGTCTTTTCCTCTCTGAAGGTCCCTGGTAGGAAAAATTGCAAAATGAAGCCTAGGTCTCAGGAAGGTACTTTTGCCAACGGATAGAAGATGACTGCGTTATGCAGTATTTATAGCATGCATTCTTCCGGTAGACTTCCGGAGTGATTATCTAAGCGACTAAAGGTTACTGACGATCTAGTGGATTGAATAGCGACTGAAAACGAGAGCAACCATGCTCGTCATGGAAGGAGTATGAGTTTTCCTACCCGAATGGCGTGACGCGCTCGCCGTACCCAACCGCCACTTGCCACGGGGATGCGGGTCGAAATTCTGTCATCCTTCATAGAAGTGTCTAACTGTGTGAAGGGAAAGAATAATGTTAATGATTTCCGGAAAAGTGAAGCATTGCATGGCCTCGTTTGGTCATCTGAAGACCTTCAGTATTCAAGTGAGGAGAAGGTTCCCGGAGCCAACAATGGAAGTCGTTGAGGTCTGGCGATTTGGTTTCATCGGGAAAAGAGGTGGAATGTGCCGAGAGATATTTGGGTTTCCTAGGCAAGTGTTCGTTTTTAGGTTTTCAGTGAGCCTCGGTATATTCTCAACGTTTTCTTCGCTTCCACCTCACTCCCTGCAATGCCGGTTTGTCAAGCAGATTGATAAAAAATTATGAGTCGCTTCTGGGATTGTGTCTGTTTCGTGTGGGAATTGCAATAAGCAATGAGACTCGCTTGAGCCATATATGACGCTTTTTCTGTAATCTGATGATTGGCGAATTTCCGATTTGGGAAATAATCCATAGGGACAGGGCACGTACCATTTGACATAGACACAGAATTTTCTAACCTGCTACCGAAATTACCTACTGATTTATTTCTTCTTCTCGGTATGACCATGGTATTTTTACGGTTTCACGTTCACCTTTATCGATACGAGTTAGCTTCCGTGGTAGACTCTACATTACACAGAATGGCGCATGGTGGCTTCACAACCCGATGCGATTTGCACTTATCCAGATATCGCTAATTTTATTGCCAACTTTCGACAGTGCATCTTACTATACTTCGGTAGTGGGTACATCGGCTCGATTCAAGCGATGAAATGTAAGGGCTTGCCTTTCGCTCGTACAACTTTGAGCGCTGCTGAGATGTAGTCACAGGAGGAGCTTCAGCTGAATCATCCTTGAATGTCCTGAAGAAAGGTTCTTAGCCAGAGGACTAGGATTTCGAGTGTAAGGAGTGGTGAGGGTGAACGATTATCTAAGCGTGGAATGGAACTGGGTGGTAGCATACCATCTGAACTAACACGAAGGTGTAAAACGATTGTCCCATTTCCACTTTCCGCTAAGGAGCTCATAGGGATAAGTAATGCGTCATTCGCGATCGTGCCTCGTTCAGCAGGCGACTACAGCATTATTGTCTGAAGCCTTTCTTGAAAATTTCGCAGGGTAAGTAACTACGGGGTGAACTAAATTCATTGCTGCTCGCACTTGGAACACTTTGTCGAAGGGATTGAGTCTTACGCACATTAAATTAACACTTAGGCTTCTTACTTACGCTGGTCGTTATCCATTCTATCCCATGAGGTGAATTTCCAATAATTTTCATAAGAACTACGTAACCTTCCTTTACACATCTACTACCGATTACCAAAGTCGAACGCATGGCGCATACAAGCTGGACTGTTCGTTTTGCTCTTAATCTCGGACTGTATGGGACTTGTGGCATTTTGTTGACTGCTGGCTATTACTGTTTACTGAAATACACAACAAAACAAAATTTACATAAATTTTTATTTTTTTTTCTTACAAGCGACAGTCGAATAATAATAATAGTAGAACCGATATCAATCACAAATACAATATTGCATTTCTTCGAACATGATATGAACTTAAAATTACATTACCAACACTTCAATACGAATCGTATTTCAAAGAGATCTTATCATAATAAGGGGCATCTACAAGTTTCAACGAAACTCCAGCGATATAGTCGTATACAGAAATCACGGCCAGTGGAGCGGGGGACATCTAGCAACGCGACGACCAACTCCAGGGAAAGGTGGGCAGTGTCCGAAGGGTGGGCCCATTATAGGGAAACCGAAAGGCCCAAACCTTGGAAATGGATCAATTCCATGGTGATCAGGTCTTGGATGGTGACGGTGATGTCGGTGGGTGCGATCGCGACTCGTGGAGCGATCTTTGGAACGTGATCGCCTTCCACGAGAACGGTTACGGCTTCTGCATCTGGAGTGATTGCGGGGGACTCGTCGCCTCCAACGTCGCCGACCATTGGCGAGCTCATCACAGCTGGAGCAGGAGATCTCGTCATCGTCGCTCGCATCGCAGGCGTAGAGTCTTAGTAGCGATGATTCGTTGGCAGCGTTTATCAGAGTGTCGGCGCTGTTCAGCTTCACTGGCTCGCCGTCCATGTCGATCCAGAAGACAGTTTCTTCAGGAATACCAAGTTCCTGTGCCTTGCTTTTTAGTTTCTCGAATAGGTCGTCCTTGTCCTTGTAGGTAATAGTGATTCGTGGCGTACGGTTCATAAAGAGCTTAAGAGTGACGGTTTTGTGCTGAGAAGTAGAATCTTCGGGCATGATTGATGGTCGGATAACTGGCATTGGAATGGCTGTACGCTTATATAGCTTTCAAAAGTGATCGAGATCTTTGTTTCGAAAATCGAAAATAGTAAGGTGTTAATTTCGAAAATCGGAATGGGGCGGAGCAACGGCCAGACAGCCGCCGATAATATTTGCTCACTACTTTCGAAAACTGTTTGCTAATACCAGGGATAACAATGTCAGAAAAGGGCAAAGTTACAAAATGAAGAATTAAAGAGAAGAGAGCTCTTAGCTCAATTACTATGTATATATAGAGAAAACGAGTTCAGCAAGAATTTATTATAGACAGCGCTTAATCTTTTCAAAAATTATTGCTGTAACTTCGGTATCATATGAACTGGATTAGGCCCTTCAATCTTCTATTCGAGGGTGAGCATCAGCAGTAAAGACCAGTCCATACTGTTAGAGAAGGAGAGGGAAAGGTAATACTATTTTTCACTAACTGTCCTGTTTTCGGAGGAGATACCTAGTGAAAGGTTATACCATCCAGAACATAGCATGTCGCTTGTGGCCATTTTGAGATGGTAGAAATTGAATTTCGAAACTAAACTGCTCCAAAGGGAGCGAATTGAACCCAGAAGTTGAAAATTTTCTGCCTCCTCAGCTCCACTCTGGCAGAAATGACTCATTGCCAGAATGAAATGAGCTAAGGAAGCATTAGTTTTGATAAAAGAGAGGAGGCGAGCCCTACACATGCATAAGTATCATCGTTTTCTTTTCATTTGAATAATATAGTATTTCCTAGTGACTCACTATGACCTTTTTGATTTTGCTTAGTGACTGAGCTGGTACTCTTTCATTTTAATTGAACAAGTTCCAAACTCCATTTATTGCAATCCGACGGATTACCCTTATCAGCAAACGACTTTTCGAAACGGACTTTCGAAAATCGAGAGCGAAATTCATCGGCAGCTGTTTATCTTTGCTCCGCCCAACTCCGATTTTCGAAATAAACATCTCGACCAACTCATGAGCGCTATTTAAAGACCTCGTTGTCTCCTTAATAACCGTTAACCATGACAATCATGCCTAGCGACTCTTCAACTCATTCAAAAACTGCCACTATCAAGCTCTATATGAATCGCATTCCACGCCTCACAATCACCTATAAGGACAAGCACGATCTGTATGAAGCATTCAAGACGAAGACACGGGAACTTGGCCTTCTAATTGGAACCGTTTTTTGGATTGATGATGATGGTGAGCCGATAAGGCTGAACAACGCCAACACCCTTATGGGCATCGCCAAGAACTCGTCGGTCCTGCACATTTACGCAACTGTTGCTGAACAGGGAGAAGACAGCTCTTGCTCCTGTTGTGAAGAGCTCGCTCGGTGTAGGCGACCATGGAATGGCAGGCATCGCTCTCGTAGTCACACTAGACGAAGAAATCGCAGTCACTCTCGTGGGGAACGTTCTCGTTCAGCTGAACGCTCCAGTAGCTCCGATCGTTCCCGCAGAACTCGTCATCACCATGGACACCATCCTTTTCTTGGACTCGAAAATTTTGATGATTCGTTGCCTGACCCGTGGTGCGGACAATGGACACCTCCCATCTGTTGTGCTCGTGGTGGTTTTGGTCCACGTGGTGGCTTTTCCGGTCGCGGAGGTTTCGGAAGCCGTGGTGGGAGCCGTGGTGGTGGACGTGGACGTGGATTCCATTTCCATTGAACGTCTCATTTTGCATCCGTGTCGCTTTATAGAAGGAAACAGTGAGATTGTGTAATTGATCCTGTCTTTTCCCTCTCCATTTCCGCTTTGTAATACTCATTTTTATCACCACCCTATCTTATTTGTACTTTAGTACGAGAAATAAATAAAGTTTGGTATGATATGCGTCCTGTAATTTGACATAATCACCAACACATAAACACCAATGAGATGTTTAGGTTTTGACTGTGCATTGAACTCTTCGAAGAGCGCGCAGTATGCCCGCTTCGGTTGTGATGTAGTGGTGGCGGTTGAACTTGTTGGCTATACCCTGAACTATGAACTGTCATAGTGTTGACCTTCAGTGATCCATGGTGCTGCTGTTCAGTGAAGCGGTATCATGGGTGTGATACCGAAATTAATACGTTTAAATAAAATGCAGCTGAGGAAACAGTTCATTTTTTTCCTAGAGAAAATTTTTGAAAATCTCCTAGGACTATCGGAGTTGGCGAATTCATCGTTACCATTGGCTGCTTTCATAGTCCGCGGGCGTGCCGGCGCCGGTCGGCGGACTGTGAAAGCAGCCATTTAGTGGTTTCTCGTGTCTTGCCTGTCTGCTATGTGATTTTCAAAAGCAGCGATGAGTTTTTGATGGGAACCTC